TCTGTCTGTCTGTCTGTCTGTCTGTCTGTCTGTCTGTCTGTCTGTCTCTCTCACACACACACACAGAGCAGGCTAACAAGTCTGTCTTGGGAGATGAATAGTTGTCTGCGACACCTATTCATCTCCGCCTCCTGCCTTTTAACCCCAGCTAAGGTGGGGTTTCGCTAGCAGCGGTGGCTCTTCTGTCCCAAGGACTGGCCCATAGATTTCCACTGCTCTCCCCTCCACTGCCTTCTGCACATCCGTGCGTCAGGCACTGGACTCAGCTGTTCCTCCTCTTCTTCATTAGCCACCTCCAGACCTGGGAGCTGTTAACTGTCCATCTGAGGGCTATGGATGGCCTAGGCTCCGCCTCTGTCTCTATCTTTGACAGTTCCATTCCCTCTTCCCCCTCAGAGCTCTCAGGTTGCCTTGATGCTGGCCCTGACTCCCACACCACCTCATCTAATTTGGCTGCTGAAGGGGCCAGAGGCCGACAGGCCACAACAATTCCAAACAGGTCATTGGCCAAGAAAATCTGCTTGTACTGGGACACTGCAAAAGTTTCCTTTTCAGACAAAATACAAGAGGTCTTCTTGGAACATTTGAAAAACAAGAGTGGTAAAAAAAGATCAGGCTTACCAGGACTTGGTTGGTGGTTTTCCTCTGAGTCCTCCATAACTTGATTTAGCAAGCTGCTCACAACTTCTGGCAGGCAGAAGTCCTCCTCCTTGGAAAAGTTTTCTGCCACAGGTGCCTGAAGGACAGAGAGCTCAGCTTCTGCCACTTGCTCAGCAAAGAGCAGAGAAAGAAGTGCGGTGGTGCCAGAGATGGGGGAGAAAATTCCCGTACAAGGAGAATGAGCTCCAGATGAAAATGTCACTTCAGCCACCTTTCCAACAGAAGAGAAACATGAGAACAATGAGGGGATGTACAAACCCTTCCCAAGAAACAAAAAAGATGCTTTGAAGGAGAGATTTTGTTTTGATGATCCTTTCAGCAAAGTGTCCTTTGAAATTGATACGCTGCTCTGTGGCTTCACTTAATGTCTAGCATCCCATAAAGCTGATGAGCTGTTGGACAAGTCCCCAGAAGGCGCATAAGGCACTTCAGTGCGGTGAATGATGTTAATGACTCAGGAAATATTTCATTTTTTTGAACAGGCCTAAAGGCTGACATGTTTTCCCCCAATATATGTCACCGTTGTTTCCTTCTCTCTTCTTAAAAAGTGCAGGTTGATAGCAGCCTTGGGGTATCTGGGAGCTGCCTCTCAGTCTTTCAGCAGCTTGCACAACCCTTGGTTTCAAGAATAGTGAAACATCCACTTTCCCCCACCATCACCATCCTGTCAGAACCTATCATTCCCCCACCCCAACCAATCTCAACTGTCACTAACTGTCCTTCCATCTCCCACACCATCCAATACAACTGATGAAGCTTTCAGGATAGGAAGCAAAACACCTTCTTCCTCAAAAAAATCAGTGTAATTGCCTTTTCAAAAATAAAAACCACTTCGGATACATCTGATGTTGGACCATGTTAAAATAAAGCACAGTGCAAGTTTACTCAGAGTAAACAAACTCTTGAAAAAACTTATCTACTGGACCAGAGCTCCTACCAGATATTTTGGCTATCAATGAAACATAACCAACCTCACCCTGCTTATCAATTACTTATAATGTGATTTGCTTTGCAGAACAAAAAGAGACTTACCATATGAAGTCCTTGAGCCAGAATATATTTTACAAACTGCTGGAACCAAGAAATGTCTTGAACTGAAGGTCCCAATGGCTTACTCTGGAGTGTCCAGCTCTCCGTGTGAAGATTTCTAACGTGCGCTGACTTCCAGTCCGTCATGGTGCATTTAAGATGTATCTTGACTGTCCCTTCAAAGTTCCTCTGGTTCAAGGTTAGAGGCTCCAGCACCACAGCACAACTCTGGGCTTCTTCTTTTCCTGTCCATTTTTAAGATAAAAAAGGTTATACTTTTTGTTTATCAAGCTTTCTTTCTATAATTCCTGAATGCAGTAATGAATAAAAGCATAAAGAATAAAAGCAGAGAAAAATACTAATACAAAGTGCTTTACAAGGGTTTCGTTTGATCTGCTTAAAATATAACTACAATACTGTAGAATACAGGTAGTCCTTGACTTACAACCACAATTGAGCCCAATATTTCTGTTGTTAAATGAGGCATTTAAGTGAGTTTTTCCCCATTTTACAACCTTTCTTGGCTCAGTTGTTAAAAGGAATCACTATAGTTGGTAAATTAGTAACCCGGTTGTTAAGCGAATCCGTCTTCCCCATTGACTTTGCTTTTGAGGAGGTCACCCAAAGGAGATCACATGACCTTGTGACACAACAATGGTCATAAACATGGACCAATTGCCGAGCATCAGAATTTTGATCAAATGATCATTGGGTCGGTGGGTGTGCTGCAAAAATAACTGTGAAAAACGGTTGTAAGTCACTTTTTTCAGCGCTGTAGTTAACTTTGAATGGTTGTTAAATGAAGCGTTGCAAGTCAAGGACTGCCTGCGAACCCTCACAAACCATAGATATTATTTTCATTACCATCCGCCGTCAGGAGCAGGACGCCGTCCAGATATGGGAAGGATGTTCGTAAAGAAGAGCGCGAGGAAAACAAGCAGTTCAAAGAGGAATCCAAGGGCAGTATTTTGGTCCAAGGAGTGAACGACGGTTCGGAAGATGAATGCTCAACGGGGGAAGCTGGGATGGTCTTTTTTCTCTGGTGGTCTAAATGCTGCGTTAAGACCTCAGATGGCACAATGGTGCCTCCCAGAATGCACATCACTTCAAGCAATGTGAGGTAGCCCACGTGATCAGGGGGTTCAAGAAGCTGAAAGGAGACAAATCAGAGATGACCGGAATAAGGCTAATCATGATAGGTAGAACAGTACAACATGCAAGCTAAGGTTAATGTTGGGTTGCACAATTTGTGGTTCAGCAGTTTGTGGGAATTTATCCACTCGCTTACTTGCGGCATTTGAATCAGAGGGTTGCGGTTCAAGCTGCAATATGGTTTCTTAACTTGAGCACTGCATGTCACATGCACCGCCCAGTCATTTCAATATGTGACGGGCAGCAAATAAATTTAATTAATATATAAAGATAAATTCAGCATCCCAATAATGATCATCTACCACATAAGCCTTCTTTTCAATAGCAGCATGTTCCCCAGGAATCCTGCAGCTTTGCAAAAGAGAAATTCTGCTTCTACAGTAGCATCTCTAAGCAATGGTACAAACTCCAGAAAAGCATGAATTTATAGTTCAAGTGGCTCCCAAGTCTTTTCTTTTACTTAAACTATTATATCACCAACGTACTCTTAGGAAGTTATCTTATATAAACCACCAGTTGGCAACCCAGCAACTGTGGCCTGTGGGAATGCACAGACCATTTTCACAGGCACAAACAATGTTCCCCAACTGGAGTTTCACAGAATACGAAGGTTCTGCAAGAGGTTGCTAGAGATTTTGTGAGAAGCAGAGCGCAGTGCTTGCAGTGGTGGGAATTTTTTTATTAAAAAGAATTTTTATTTTTAAACATAGACAAACAAAACATAAAAACATAAAACCATCTTCCCGTTACATACAGTGTCGGTTGGTTACAAATCTTTTGTGCTTCATATCAATAGTCCTCACTTATAATTTGTATAGACTCTCATATTCTCCATCTAATATATATATGTATATTGTTATCATTGTTATGGTGGGACTTTTTATGCACTGCAACTCAGCAGCCGGCTTGCCACTTTGCTATTGTTATAAAAGGTAGATTGTCAAGGTTACAATCGAACTATATTCTGAATTATTTTTTTTAGATATTTGCCAATTTTAATGCAAGGGTTTCCCAAGACTAAAACATTATTTCAAGGATTCCTCTAAGGAAACAATATTGAGAAAGGCTGGGCACAAATATTTATACAAGGATTATGCAGTTAGTCTTGTCTGTTCATTTTGGTAGAAGGAGGAGCTGTTAGGTATACAGCTTTTTGCACAATTTGTGAAGATGTGATCAGCATGCAAGAAAACCTCAGGATCAGAAACACCTTATACAGGTAGCCCCCAACTTACAACAGTTCATTTAGTGACCACTCAAAATTACAACTGCACTTTATGACAGTTTTTTACACTTATGACCATTGCAGTTTTTTACATTTACGACCGGTCACATGGTCAAAATTTGGAGGCTTGGCAATTGGCTCATATTTATGACAGTTGCAGGGTCCTGGGGTCATGTGATCCCCTTTTGCAGTCTTCTGACAAGCAAAGTCCATGGGGAAATCTGATTCACTTAACAACTGCGTTACTAATTTAACAACTGCAGTTATTCACTTAACACCCATTGCAAGAAAAGTCGTAAAATGGGGCAAACCCCACTTAATAAATGTCTCACTTAGCAACATAAATTTTGGGGTCAATTGTAGCTGTAAGTCGAGGACTACCTGTAGCCATTTTCCATGTAGGTAATTGAGAAAACTAGAGAATAGTAAGATGAAGTTGAAATGTTAAAATAAAAAAAAAATCTGAATTTGATCAATAAGTCATAAAAACCCAATAGATGAACATGGAACCATTTGCCTCTATTACAGCTTTGTGTCTCAAGTAGTACAAATATGTATGATTTTTGAAGGAAGGAAAACTTTCCTGACAGTGAAAACAATGAATCAGTGAAGTTGTAAATGCTCCAACCCTGGAAATTTTAAAGAGACTGGACAACCATTTGTCTAAAATGGGATAGGGCTGTAATGGCAAACCTATGGCACATGTGCCAGAAGTGGCACACACGAGGTCGCCTGGAAGAGCCCCACTGCGCATGCGTGAGCCCTGCCTACCCGCTGATTGTCGGGTACCTGGAGCGCACGTGTAAAGATACACAGGGCGCACAGGGGGGGCTCGTGTGCATATGCAGACACGCATGGGGGGGGGCTGCACATATTGCCTTCTGGGTGCTGGCATGCAAGCACATGTGCAATTTTCAGCATGGGAACCCAAAAGTTTAGCCACCATTGGGACAGGGTTTCCTGCCTAAGCAGGGGAAGACTTCCAAGATCCCTTCCAACTCCTTTATTCTCTATTCTGAAATGAATGCAGCAACATAGCAAACTGAACAATAATCTTGAGTTTGTTTTTTTTACCTTGGACCATTCAGAGGTGTCCATCCAATATAGAGTGACTTTATGACTGACCATCATGTCTTGGATTCCCTTAGGGAGGAATTTTTCAGCCAGGTCATGTGAAGGAGGCAGTTCTTCTGGGAAAGGAGCATAGTTCCCAGAAATAAATTGCCATAGTTCCCTCTGAGAATGAGGGCAGGGAGACAAGATGAAAATGGCGTTAGCAAAGCCGGCATGAGTGGATTGCGCCGGAGGGTTGTCCACAATCGCTATTAATTTATTTTTCTGGCTCCTCAGCACTGGCTTGGTAGGAGAGACTATTTCAGGGCGATCCCACTGATAGTCCAGCAGCGTTTCTTTCAGAATGTTCCGAGTGATGGTGGATCGTGGCGTTGGGCCAGGTGAGCCCAGAGGGAAGAGCTGCTTCCCGAACCTGGATTCCAGCCCTTCCTCAAAGTCTTCCCAGCTGCGGGACCCAAGCTCCCGGAAGCTGCCTACTCGCGAAGCCCAGCCACGGATTCCACTGGAGTCAAAGAATTTGAAATCCCATTGGACCTTAGCTAGACCAAACTTGCAACCCAAGAAGTTCAAGACCCTCAAGGTGCCTAGGTGAAGGTGATCTTTCTCTGCAGAATCTGTCGTGTCCAAGAGGAAGACCACATTGTGGGAGCAGGTCATGATGCTGCAGCCGCTGGTATCCTGGAGGCTCCCAAGCGCAAGCAGAACCGAGATCCGAAGGTAGAGCCCCACTTATTTCAGCATTCTAATCCAATCCAAGCAGGCTAAAGGTGAGAAATAGATCCCCAGCTCTACGTCACTGGAGCCGGCCTTCCAAAGTAGCATGTTCAACGCAAGGCTTACAAAGCAAGGAACTTAAGCCCCTGCGGGCATTCACAGGCATGTGGCAGAGCCATCCATCTCCAAAGCTCACCCTTCTCAAAGAAAAGCAAAGCATTTGTAAAAGGCAAGGTGCTTTACCCTATCCACTGGGTCCTTTTGCAAATGGAGGCGCAACCTGGAAGGTCTACCATGGCGGCTTCTCCCCTGCTCTGCTCTCAGTTGCCCTGGGGGGGGGGGACTATACTTCTGGGGGGCCCTTTCCCAGTTATCCTAGAAATTACCTCCCCTTCTTACCTTGATAATTACCCTTCTGCCCCCTCCACAGCCCTGGTAACTTACTCCCTACTTCTTACCTTGATGCCTACCCTCCTGCCCCCCAGGGTGCCCTAGTAACTAAACTCCCTTACCTTGATGACTACTTTCTTGCCCCACTTGGTTGCCCTGGTAACTAGCCCCCCCTTACCTTTATTCTCCTGCCCCCCATTACTTTCTCCCCCCCCGTTGCCCTGGTAAGTGCCCCCCTTACCTTTACTCTCCTACCCCACACACTTTTACTCTCCTAACCCCCGTTGCCTTGGTAACTACCCCCCCCACTTGATGACTACTCTTGCCCTCCCCCGGTTGCCCTCGATTGCCTTGGTAACTATCTTCCTGTCCCCCCGGTTGTCTTGCTAACTGTCCCCGCCCTCCGTTACCTTGATGCCTGCCTCCCCAGGACTTTCAAGGGTTTAACAAGAGAGCAGAGAACATCTCACGAATTCCTGCCCCCCACCCCGAGTGTTCTCCCAGCCTCTAGTCCTTCTCGGGCAGCCCTCCCGTCGGAGAGAAGCAGGCAATTACTCCGAGGGAGCCTCTCCAACGGCCGCCATGACACCCGCGATCGCCCCAATCCATCCAACCGATGGCGCCTTTCGCGCTCTGCTTTCCCATTGGCTCGGGAGAGGAAGCCAGGCTCCGCTCCTCATTGGCTGAGTCTTTTTTCCCCCAAATTCCGCCCCTCTCCGCTCAACAGGTGGGCTCCTTCTCTTGGGCTTCGGATTGGCTAGTGCCGTTGGCGCAGGCGCCTTCGCAGGCTGACGAACGAACTCGACGCTGGGCGGGGGGGGAAAGGGGGTAGTGGTTCTTAAAGGAGCCGCGACTCCTTTAATTTACATTAAAGATTTTGAGAGCAAAGCTCGCCTTATTTCAGTGTTTCTCTCAACCTGGCCGATTTTAAGACGTGTTAGACACTCCAACTCCAACAGTTCCCCAGCCAGCCTTGCAGAATTTGGAAGACGTTGGATTTGTGGCTGAATATGGTGGTTGTGTTCCACTCAGCTAGCTTCATTATATCTATCGATCGATCTATATCGATCGATCGATCTGTATATATACTATAGATAGATAGATACACACACATAATGTATATACATTATACACACACATATACATTATATGAATGTGTGTGTGTATAACGTATATACGTTATGTGTGTGTGTGTGTGTGTGTGTATATATATATATATTATACATATAGGTAGATATAGATATATATCTATAATATATATATTATACACACACAAACACACACACATATACATTAAATATATTATATGTATGTGTGTGTGTGTGTGTATAATGTATATACATTGTGTGTGTGTGTGTGTGTGTGTGTGTGTGTGTGTGTGTGTGTGTGT